ATTATATTTTATATTTGGTACGATGCAAATAAATTAATTACAATAAAGACAACAAGGAAGTGACAAACAGAAATTAAAAATCAAACAAGAACAGCTCATTCAGTAGAACATAAATTAATAGCGTAAACAGTTTATTACATGAACATAGGCCTAATTAGTGATCAAGATCTACTGTGTGTGTGCAGTCGCTTGTATATGCTTGTATGATAATCTGATCTAAACACAATACATTTATTTTAGTGTTTTTTTTGGGGGTTTTTTTTTGGTTTTTTTTTTTCATTTTGGAAGTTGAACAACAATAATTTAGGCCAAAAATGTCTACCGTATCCGAAAACGCCATTCCTCTACACCCAGGCCCAATGTCTGTTTTCAAAATGACCTACAGAGAATGAATGAAAATAAATGGGGGAAAAATTGCCACCCTAGCTTAGCCTATTGCACTAAATTCTGATATTCATCGTATATTTTGAGTATTTATTGGCGGTCAATGTACTTTATTATGAATAGGACTACAAATAGTAGGCCTATTGTACACTTATTTTTGATATATGCCTACCATAATGTATTTTGAATGCAAGGTTATTCCCAACTATTATATCGGAACAAATTATAGACAATAAATCAATGGATAGAAAAAGTAATTTAAAGAATGAAATAATGAAAATATGTTAAGAGATCGTAATTCAGTAAATATCCCATAGCCCATTGAGTACAGGACCAGAGTCTAACTTTTACTTTGTAGAGTATGTCAAAACCACAGGCCCTAAACTTCCAGCCCGGCGATGCAGTACACTGCAAGGAAGACTTCCAAGTACACTTGATACGCCGTGGCGTATCAACAATTGAAAACTACTTTTATACATTACCAGTGCGTTTTATAAATGAAATTAAAATCCCTGTAGTAAAATAACATAGTCATTTGGTACATTCAAGCGTTTAAAAACGATTTAATGATTATACATTTTAAATTTAATTATTTTGAAAAATTATTATAAAATTAATAGCCCATATGGAATGGTAGAGGCCATAGTTAATCAACGACGCAACAAAACATGTGCTTCGCTGTTTGAAAAGGGGTGAAAGCAATACATTGAACAGCAATCTAGAGAAAACACGGAGAAAACAATATTTTTACAATACCT